TAGCATAAAACAAGTCAACTTATAAATAACCAACTAACTGTTTACTGAAAATAGCTAACCTGGTTTGCGACATCATCATGTAAAAGTAGTCAGTTGAAGGCTACGTAAAGTAGTCGAGTCGTAGTTAGCTCTAGTTTAAAAATAGGGAATTTATAGTGCACTTGTGTTAGTTGAGTTCCCTACAGGGTAGCTATGTTAAGGGTAATGGGAATGGTGATTTGACATATTTTCCATAATATTGAATCAATATGGTTTAATATATTTTTAATATTTTTTTTTTTTTATTGAGCTTTGTACCACGATTGTTTATTAGGAAAAATTGAAAAAAGCAACAAAGTCTAAGCGGTAGAAGTTATAGCACTATTTCGGAGATCACCACATCTCCTCATCAGACTTCTTTTTTCTAGACTTCAGCAGGAATCGAACCTGCGAATTCGATGTTCAAAGTCAGAAGCGTTAACCACTGAGCTATGTACATCCCGTAAACTCTTGTTGCTTTTTCAATTTTTCCTAATAAACAATCGTGGTACAAAGCTCAATAAAAAAATATTAAAAATAAAATGTTAACAAGCCACAATAACATTGACAAATACATGGTTTAATATAATTTCAACAACTTAGCCCTATCACTAACTTAAAAATAACATTTTGCTTTTACGCTTTCTGGAATCTCTGTACTGGTATTTAATCTCACCCACTTTTTGCAGCGTGTCAGCTCCTACAATAAGGTCACCTCATTAGGAGTAAAAATAAAGTGCGACACAAGTTGTTTGAACCCTAAGCTTGAATGAATTCGATAGCCAAGGGGCAGATGCTGAATTGACTCCAACTCATCGAATTTCCATGCAACTGCAAAAGTGAAAGATCGAAGTGTGAACAATGGCCAACGGGGCTATGAGACAAGTTCCGTTCTACCAATGGAGAGAAGTTCTCAGTGCTCGCTGAGCAGACTAGATGCTTATCTTAACAATAGCAGACCAAATGTGGAAAATGGAGCAACAAAAATCTCTTTATCCGGCGACAACTTCTAGAAGGGTGCGCTGCTTTGCTGGTTCATCGGCTATACCAGGGATAGGCAGATTTTTGGCTTTTAAAGCCGTCAAAGAGCTAAATCAATTCTCAGGGTAAAGGGGTGTGCAAAATACATTAAAAGCATCATATATATATGTATGTAAGTAATGAGAGTCGTAGTACAAGAAATTTGAATACGCTCTTCTTCCCCCTTCATGCTGGCTCTTGATGTTAACCCTAATCTACCCAAGGCTCCTGGGAGTCACTTTGTCCATCTCTTGGCTATACAGTTGATGGCCAATTATTCTGCTTCAGCCGAGAGCGATTTGAGGCATTAGCCGAAAATTTTCTAGCATAATATAAAAGGCCAAAAGCCCGCACTTTCCGATTAGCTATGGAAATATGGATTCCAAAGAAGGCACTTCTTTCAATCCTCCCTTGTAGGAATATGATTGGAGAAAGATGCAGTTGAGCCCGGATTGGCAAGCAATGGTCGGTTAGGGCTGGAATGACCCCCAAAAGCGTTTTAAAATTCCGGAGTGGCCATGGCTAGAAGTGGTTTTGTAACCAGTTCCTCGGCAAGGACAGCAAAAAATGTCGAGTTTTTCTTATTCCACTTACATTGTCCCTGAGGGGACCAAAACGAACCACAAATACGAATTGAGGCCATTAAAGCCAGAGGAGCCTATCTATAAAATTACGTTTTTTTTGAGTAAAATAATAAAAATGGTCTTTTATTTTTAGATGTACCTCACTTTTTTTAAATTGTCAGTAAAGCTACTCTGGCTCTCAGGACCTTTATTCTACCAATTCGTCCTATTTAGATATAGAATTACAAGTAATCTTTTGTCATCAATTGAAGTCAATCCTGCAGAAAATGTAAGACAGCTTTGGATATTCTTCTACAAAAAGACTACCTTACATGTGTATATATGTATGTAAAACACAAACCACTCATACTTTCAGGTGCACATATATATAAAAAATCTATAGTACATATGTATGTACATATATAAACAATATTCAGTGAACTCGTAGCAAATAACATACACCGGGGATTATTTGTTACCAGTAACAGTTGCCAAATCACTACAAAGCATGAAAGCGCAGAAAATCGTTTGAAGCGCAGCAGTTGCCAGCTATCATGGCGCGACTTTATGAGCTAAATCTATGTAAATTGTCGTTAATCATCTATGCATACTTATACGCATACTTACATGCAAATTTATGTATGTGTAGTACATTTGCCATTTATGTATAGTGGCAAGGGTGTTATTTTTCCATTAAGCGCAATTTCTCCCATAATTATGCTTATCTGCCGCAAATCAAGTGTAAACTTCAATTTCCTCTGAAACATATATTTACGACATACTCAAGCCCGTAAAATTTTATGTTTGTAAGTATATATACATACTATAGTTGTGCATACAAACATATGTACATATGTATGTGTTTGCTTATGAAATGTGTTTCATGTAATCATAAGTGCGTTGACACACGCTTAATTTCCCAGTTGGCAAACAAGTACGGAAATGTCCTTCTGCCCTATGGTCAGTTTAGCTGAGCTGAGTTGTAGCATAAAGCTTTAAATTGTTGCTATTTTTACCTACATGCCGTGACGTGTGTATCTATTTTTTGACTAAATTTGCGATGACAAGTCTATCGGATTAGTGTCGACTTTAGTAAAATGTCATATTAAATTTCATTCATAAATATGTTTAAGAGGGCGTAAGTCTTTTGCGTGAAAGTTACATGTAAGTATGTATGTAGGCGCATAAAGAAAATCACACAATTAGTTGGGGTCTCGAGTGAATAAAATAAAACGAAACGTGTACTACTAAAAAAAAATTAAGCTCTTTATTATCCTTAACCAAAAAAAATAAAAAAATACATTTGCATTCAAACTAAGTTAAAAAAAAAAAAATCCCTCGCCAAAAAATGTTGCTATAGTGGTTACATGGGGTCAGTACTCAAGGGAATAGCGATAAATGTGTATGCACCGATGTTCTGGTCGTGATTAAATGATTAAAACGAAGTTTATATTATCAAAAATATGAAACTACTTTATTAGAGTTAATTTTAAGAAAGAAAAAAAATACTTTTAGTCAATCCATAATTCTAGTTTTTTTCCAAGCAACAACTAAAAATAGTCAGTCTGCTTGGCCAGGCAGGCAGGCAATGGCAAGCCTCAGAGTGTATTTCTGCAATAATAAAAAAACCGTCTTATAAAAGCTGAGTGGCCATGAGTATCTGTGAGTCATATTAGTCCTTATGACTAGTTGGAAAATACATATAGAGGGGAGAGCAAAAAACGTTAGATTCTACAATCGCAAATACTCTATCGGAGAGGCGTGTGAATTTTTCACTAAAAGTACGGAGCTGTAGTATGTCCGATCTCACATTACGGTTCATTGTCTGGTGAACGGTCTTCCCGAACCAGTATGCCAAACTAAATTCAAAGACCGCATTTATCGGAACTACATGAAACAATGATTTTATTCTGCTTCCTTAAAATAATGTACTGCTCTAAAACTCGAAGAAAAAAAGATTGCGCTGGTAGAAGAAATTCACTATTATCTTCCAAGAAAATACACCAATTCGGCACGACCTGAAATTTAATTCTACAAGGTATTTTGGGGTCTCTCCTCCATTGGTTGTATATACATCTGTACACAAAGCCGAAATTGAACGAGATGGTGGAAGCATAGTAGTTTAATCCATGGCCAAGTAAAGTGCATTACCATTTTATCGGACAGTCGGGTGCCCGTTATGGCTCGGGGTGCTCAAAAACAATATCGAAGCTCATTAAGGAGTTCAAAGCACTAAGCTTTAGTTATAAGGAAGACTTCCAAATTGATCGAAGACTGGATCTCACATTCGATTGAACAACAGGCAAATTTACTTCAGATATCGGGTCATATGCGACGCATGACCATGATCAATTAAAAGATGATATTTAATTCTCAAAAAATGTAAAAATTGTTTATTCATCGAAAAAAAAATCATTAAATGACAATATATGTATGTATATTTCAACACGCAAGTAGCAGCCATTAATAGCCCAAAATTTCATATACATACACACTTAACATCTAGAGAAAAACTTATATCCTACTTTAGATACAACTAAGAGGAACATATAACTATATACCTAAACCTAAACCTTTATCACATTACAGTTATAACTAAATATTATTCAGCAAATAGGCCCGAAATGCTCCTGCATAACTTCAAAGATATCATCTAACTCCGCGCTGCTTGAACTTTGTTCGGGCCACTGCAACAATGGAAATCCAATAATCGGCTGCGTTGATGGACTCAGCTTGATGTCACAAATATTAGTTTGCGCCACGAGTTCGCCCTCACCGTTGCTCTCCAAAAACTGCACTATTCTTTGTATTGTGCCTTCTTTGTCTGCACTGTTTGGTGTATTGTTCATATTTTCCTTCTCATAGCTGAAGAGCTCACCGCTTTTTCTACCTTTACTCCTACGATTCTGGAACCAATATTTCACCTGGTTTTCTCGCACACCAATGCTTCTAGCGATTTTTACTCGTCGTTCGGCCGTCAAATATTTTCCTTTCCGATATTCACGTTCCAATATCATTGTTTGTTGGTGAGTATACGAGGCTCGTGATCGGAATATTGTCGCTTTGGTAGACGTTGTTGACGATGAAGTTGAAGATAAAATTTTCCCATTGTTGTAGTGATATATAAATTCAACGCCTTGTGGTGCTCCTTCACATTT